GCTATTTTATTACTTACTTCAGTAGTTATTTCGGGGCGGGGGTCGGCCTGCTTATCTTCAAATATGTTTGGCATAATTGGAATACTTGGTTAGTAATTTATCATTGTGGTATGTCAAAATAGGAGGGTTTCAAGAGAAGCAAAAATCTTTTTTATTTGATGCAGGACACTCTCTGAATGACCCCAAAAAATTTTTAGAGAAGGAGAAGAAAAAAATTCATATAGACAGTGCATTTCTACTAGGAAAGTGTTCAGTGCAGTGAATGTAGCCCCAATAGTGGTCCTATCATTCCCTCTTTCTCTCTCTCTCTCTCTCTCTCTCTCTCTCTCTCTCTCTCTCTCTCTCTCTCTCTCTCTTTCTCTCTCTCTCTCTCTCTCTCTCTCTCTCTCTCTCTCTCTCTCTCTCTCTCTCTCTCTCTCTCTCTCTCTCTCTCTCTCTCTCCCTCTCCCTCCCTCCCTCCCTGGTTGTTGTAATATATATATATAACTGAACCTGGTTCTTCCCCCACAGGTGACCAACATAGCCTTCACCAACGACAGTCGCTGGGTCACAGTCAGCACACACAGGGGGACCACTCATGTTTTCCCCATCACTCCTTACGGTGGTATGTGTTACTTTCTCTTTGTGAGCACAACGGTTAGGGGAGCGGGGGTGGGGGCTGTGGGTGTGCGTGTGTGTGTTTGAGAGAGAAAGAGAGAGTACTGATGTGTTACCCTATACTCATTATACTTTGTGTGCGTGCGTGTGTGAGGGTGTGAGAGTGAATGAGTGATTTTCTGTTTTTGTGTATTGGTTTTCATCTCCAACTTTCTGTTTTTGACTACTTCCTTTTTGTTTGTAGTTTTTTTCAGTGTTTCTGCAGTAGTACTATGTGCCTTCTTTTCTCTCTTTCTGTTGTTTCTGTCTGTCTAGCTTTAATTTTACCTGAGTGAAATGTTCTTTATTCTGAAGATGTTCTTCTATTTACTCTAATAATTTACTGCCTTCAAGCTACTCTAAAATGAATCGAACAGGATGATTATTTTTCCTGTCTCTTTCAGCAACTAGTGGGAATGTGTTTTCATCTGCTATCCTCAAGCACAACATTTATTGTGTAACATCCTGTTGTTAACCATTGGTTATCTACTGACATCTGTGGTGTAACAGTAACTTGTTTCACAGTCGCATGCAGAAGGAGTTTGTTTGATACCTGGGTGGGGAGGTTTTTTTTATTGTGCTAACGTTCAGATGTTTCAAGTGGGTGGTTGGAGGGCGCCACTGGTGGGTCTTACTTCTTTTGTTTCCCTCTGTTGTTTCTCTCTCTTTTCCTTGCTTCTTCCCCAGCACTATATGACTGTTTTTGTGTCAATGTGTTTCTCTTTACTCAACCTTTGTGGTTGTTCCTTCTTTCCTGTCAGACCTTTCAAATCCTTATCTTTTCTCCCTCGTCTTTTTGGTGTGTTCATATCTAGTAACCCCTCTAATTTTCAACACATATATGATCTGATTATGTTGCAAGTGCCATAAAATCACTTTCTGAAATTAAAACTAAAAATTATGCTGTTCCGTTATGTGTCAGGAAGGTCAATATTGTATTAAAGCCGTAGGATCAACTCTCAGATGCTTCATTCCCATCACTCTCCCCCACCTCCACCTTCCCACCACTCTACAACCCCACCTCCACACTCCCCCCTCTCCCCAGGTCCCATCTGTGCCCGCACCCACTGCCAGCCCCGCGTGGTCAACCGCATCAGTCGCTTCCACAAGTCTGCGGGACTGGATGACTTTGAGCCGGGGGCAGCGGGCAGGCACAGTCCTGTACTGTCCAGTAGTCCAGGCAGTTCCGGTGAGTTCTAGACAATACTTTAGTAAGAGTTTTGACTGCTGATGGTTGGCTGGAAATGTTTGAAAGATGAGATCAGATAAGGTCTACTTTGTTGAGTGGGTGCTCCTGAAGAAGAAGTAGTGGCGTCGGTGGCCTAGTAGTTAGGCACTTTGTTGTCGCACTCAAGAATTTGATACCTGGGTGGGAAGAATTTTTATCAAGTATCTCCGTAATTCTGCTGCTGTGTTGTATCCTTCTCAGCCCGAGTTGGCTCTGATAGACAGGGTTGGAAGCCCACCTCCTAAATGATCTAAATTGAGTTGGTTGGGGAGGGGGGGGGGGTAAAAAATACCAAATAAGTTTTATGGGGACATGCACATTCTGCAGCATCCTCTATACGCTTTACAACACCTATATTATTACCCCAGCAGACCATAGAATACTCTGGAACATTCTCGGCTTCCCTGAAAGCATGTGCTATGAAGCAAGATATGACATTTAATATAATGCCTAACCGTGA